TTGACCAACGTGGTGAAGTATGGTCAAACAGGACCCAAGAACGACACGGCGTGGCTGGGAGGCCCTTCATCCAGCAGTGGATTGACAAAAGACGACACATTATTGTTGTTAATACAGTAGAGTACTATGAATAAAACAAACTCGTATTTTACTTTCCAATGCAAGGAGCGAGATACTCGGCCCCGCCAACGTAACGTTCCCGTTTGATGCTAAACAGGCTCCGCACCAATGTCTTAATCTCTGTTCCAGGAGAGGACGCCTGTTGCAGGAATACAGATATTGAACGGTCAGTGGACATCTACTGCCACCCCGCGGTGATCATTTAAATCACACGAAACGAGTCCAATGGTCCATAATACAGGTTTTTTTTGGGTTAGATCGCGAAAATATATAAATGTGTCGTTAAACCCGCCACTACCCGACACAGCCAACTAGTAAGGGTTGTCACGTAAACAGAACGTGGCCAATTCGTCACGAGCACAGCACACCGGTGTGTTGGAGAGCCAAGCCACAACATTTACAAACTGAGTACGACGTTTCGCCAGTAATTCCAACTAGCTTCATCGGGCGACAACCAGATTTGTGGAGAAGTCTTACTGTTTCGTTCCTTAAATAGACGCGTAGATGTGTTGACAATACTTCTGTGCGCTTCTTGCGCGAAGTGGGGGGGGGGGGTTAATGAATCAACGTACATTATGCATGTACATTATGCGAGCCCATTGATCTTGTACTGTCCATTGTGTGCACTTAAATAGCCATACCAACGGTAATCCCTATTGAGGTATGGTGGCCTGTATAGGCATGCATTTAAACAATGTATTATTTGATGATTCGCTTCCAAGCAGCACTACGTCTGTAGCTATCCGAACGGTTAACATTATTTTTTATCATCAAATAATAATATGTTGGGCAAACAGGACGAATGATCAGCACGAGACTAAAAGAACACCAAAGAAATATTAAATACCCCCAAATACAACTGTCAGCAGTAGCAGATCACTCGTTCCAACAAGGACACTCAATAGATTTTGATCATGTTGCAGTTCTGTGCAAAACTAGTTACTACTGACCAAGACTAATTGGAGAATATATCGAAATTGAGAGAAATACAAATAATTTCAACCGTTCGGATAGCTACAGACGTAGTGCCGCTTGGAAGCGAATAATCTAATAATACATTGTTTAAATGCATGCCTATACAGGCCCCCATACCTCAATAGGGATTACCGTTGGTATGGCTATTTTAGTACACACAATGAACACGAAGTACAAGATCAATAGGCTCGCATAACGCGCATGCATAATGTACGTTGATTCATTAATCTCCCCGCCCCCACCTCGCGTAAGAAGAGCGAACAAGAGTTGTCATCACATTTAACGCCTCTATTTAAGGTACGAAACCGGTGGACTTCTCCACAAATCTGGCTGTCGCCCGATGAAGCTAGTTGTAATTACTGGCGAAACGTCGTACTCAGATTGTAAATGTTGTGGCTTGGCTCTCCAACACACCGGTGTGCTGTACTAGTGACGAATTGGCATGTTCTGTTTACGTAACAACCCTTACTAGTTGGCTGTGTCGGGTGGTGGCGGGTTTAACGACACATTTATATATTTACGTGATCTAACCCAAAAAAAAACCTCTATTATGGATGAGTTTGGTCGCGAAAGCCTGCCACGTGTTAAACTGAGTCCAACGGTGTTTTCTTTAAACGAGTGAAGGTAAGAATGTACTGGCGAAGCCCTGCAATGACATCCTCAAGATGTTCATGGGCCTTCATTTTCATGCGTGATCATGCGTGCAAGAATTGCGTTTTAAACAATGTAAAGCGTTTTGGCGTATGGGGGGGGGGGTAAAAAAATTCGAGGCCCCAGGTTAAAGCCACTAACCCCCCACCCCCCTGCGTTAATCCGGCCCTGCCTATGCATTGTACTGCAGCGGCACTTCGTGGCCCAAAGAATGCAAGTTGAGGAGGCAATATAGTCGTCCTCGGGGGGTTTCTATTCCCAGGCGAAAACGCGTGCAGGTGGAATAATTGATAGTTGCAAAACAAGGAAGGCAACGTGTGGTGGTGATAATGGCGATGATCCAACAGTGCTGGGCTCTCAGGTGACCAGTTCTCCTGGGACGCTGCATGGGCCGTGTGCGTCCATCTGGTGTTGATAATGAAGTCATCGCCAGTAAATCCCAGTCTCTCAGTGGCTCTACGTGAGCTCATTGGTCTCTGTGTGAGCTTATTATATGTGTTGAGTAGTTCCCACGGACGCACTCGGAGACGAAGATAAGTTAAGGCCTTTCGCCAGGGTTTGTTAAAGCTTATCACTATTACACAGCAGGGTACACAACTCCCAGGGGCTAGGGGTCCTACTCTGAGTCCGGGTCCCTACCGGCTAGCTCCGGTCTCTCTCTCTCTCGTGTCGGATCGTGGACTCTGCCGACTCCACCGACCGGAGAGCTAAGCACCTCTACGGCGACCACCGGCTTCTCCCCAGACTCCCTATTCGATCCCTCTCTCTACCCCTGGTTCCCTCTTCACCCTGCTTACTCTACCCGTTCCCACAGTGACCCCGCTTACGTCACGGGGTATCCCTTAAGTACCCTAGGAGACGTGACGTCATCGCACTGAACGGCACACCTGACGTCACGTCCCCATTTTACTCCTCTACATATGTACTGTATGTTGAACTTCTTTCGCAACGTAGGCAGCCAACCGTGCTAATCGGAGGTGCGGGGGAAGGATGACGGTTCTGACATCACCTCGGTTAATGGATCGCGTAGGTGTTTGTAGCTATGCTAAGATCCATAGTATGGCTACAAAGATAAAGCATTGATGATTAAGTCATTGCCAGCGCATTTCTGTTTCTCGACGAGTCCACCTGTAATTGGAAAACTGGAGGCCGATTGTTGCCGACTCAGCCTGGAGCCACTGCTGCACTGTGTTTGGTCGGCTGCTGCGTTTTGACAGCTACGCGTTAAGTGATCCAGAAAGGTGGCACAATTTAACGCGTAGGCTTTCGCGACCAATAGGATTCATAATAAACGTTTTCGGGTTAGATCGCGTTATTTATAAATGTGTCGTAACCCTCCAACACCCGACACGGCCAATCAGCAAAACAGTGTCACGTTGACAAAAGACAAATAGTTCACTACTTTAACCCACACGTGTGTTGAAGCGTGAAACCACAACATTTAAAATTTTTGAGTACGACGTTTCGCTGTTTCTGGCGAATTGCCCGATTATGCTGGATGCAATTACCAGCAATTACCAGCGAAACGTCGTCCTCAAAAATTGTAAATGTTGTGGATTCACGCTTCAACACACCGGTGGGCTAAAGCAGTGAACTATTTGTCTTTTGTCAACGTGACACTGTTTTGCTGATTGGCCGTGTCGGGTGTTGGAGGGTTACGACACATTTATAAATAACGCAATCTAACCCAAAAACGTTGATTATGAAGGTGGCACAATTGGAAACTTTTCCGAATCGCAATCTGAAGGTTGTGAGGTTCAAATCCCAGTCAGTCGACTGAGTCCATCGTACCTCCAGGATGGATAGAAATGCAACGTCACTTCGTGAGAACTCACTCCTGTCGAACAGAGCCGCGTTGCCTGCCGTGTGGGCGTGCAATTTGTGCCACTGGTCAGAACAGCCAGAACGGATATGTACCCTTCCTTCTGGCTTGGGGGCCGTCCATAAATGACGTCACGCGATTTTGGACGATTTTTGACCCCCCCCCCCCTCGTCACACGGCGTCACAAAAAGTCAGACCCCCCCCTCAAATATGACGTCACAAAGCTCTGCCCCCCCCCCCAAAAAAAAAAACATGCTTCAAATCGCTTTCAACTATTGTCATTGTAGTGTGTATTTAATGTGCCGCTGCACTCTGATGTTGTAGGAGAAAACATTTATTAAAAAGTATATTTAATTAAGTAGAACGTGTTGCGCATTTTGATGTGACGTCACATTTCTCAAACCCCCCCTCCTCGTCACACATCGTCACAAATGTCTGCCCCCCCCCCCTAGGTGCGTGACGTCATTTATGGACGGCCCCATGGATACTTGTTTACTTTTTACGCCACCAAATAACATTTCCCCAATGCCGTCTCTTGTGCCGTGTGTGTACTCTATAGCATACTATAATAGACTCCCTTCCACAAGCTATCAGTGCTGTTGACTGTCCCTGGCCCTGTTCAAGTCCAGGCTCAAGACCTTCCACGTTTCCTCTGCCCGTAAATGACTCGTTTTCCCCACTTGTTTCTTCGCATTGGGGAAATGTTTCTTCGCAGTTTTTGAGATGCAGTCGCACGCGGATGCTATGTTAATCCGCATTTAATTTTTATGACAGATGTGGAAGTGTGTGGATTTTGCGTACTGTGTAGATTGTGATGAATGCAGTAACTGCCGCTGTATGGCCTGTTCGTGTGTCACAAGGATTCAGAATCAGATTATGTATTTATACTTGAGAAATCCGATGAGCTATGAAGCTCTTTTTCACAGATTAGAGAACACACCCAACGTTGAAGGACATTCAACCTGCTGAGGAAAGTATGGACTTGGGCAGGGCATGCCACGAGAGGGGATGGATGGCCGATGATTAAAAGTAGTGACAGGGTGGAAGCAAAATGAACAGAACGCCGTTCCATACTCCTTGGTTCTTTCGGTAAAGTCACGTAGGACATTCGCTGAGAAGGGGGAGTGATGTACTCAGCTCGTGTGCAGTTTGCCCGGTAGATTCTCACATTGCAGGATCGTGAAAGATGCCGGTAGCTTGGGGAGGTACTCTTTGGTTTTGTCGGTAAAGTCACGTAAGTAAAAAAATTAAATAAATTAAATCACGACGTTTTGGGCGCAACACAAGCGTCCTTCTTCAGGTGGGGACAACTTAGCGAAAGTACACTACTTGGGGAGGGCCATAATGCAGCGGTGGATTGATCATGAATCGCGATAATGGTATGCAGTGTGGTGCTTGTTATTAAATCCCATAATGGGAAGCAAATTCACTGTTTTTCTTTTTAAAGCACATTTTTATTTTGTTCATTTTAAACACATCACAGAAAAACAACACAACAATTGTGTTATTGAAATAACACAAACTGACACATTTGAAACACCAAATATTGTCTTCTACGTAAAACGTTATCTTGTAGTCGGCCTACCATCCAGACGTAATCATCATCTCATCAATGCTTTTGTTTGTAGATGATTAAAATATGATAATCTAAAAGAGGCACTATAGAAATGTAAAACAGATTCATATGTTCTTTACATCAATATATCAGTTGACAGAAGCATATTTATCCACAAACATCTTGGAATATATCCATTTAATAACACATCCATTCTACTAAATACTCTGGTGCCTTGTTGCAAATGCATTATATATCTCATTTTTCCACTTTCCATTGCAAAGTACAGTTAGCGGCGGTCACTAATCAGCTCAAATTCCTGTGAAATTGGCATAATCTTAAAATTTTCAAACTTCTTAAAAAAATTCCAATCTTGGCAAAACATTTTTTTTTTAAAGTAAACATCTTTGCGGCAATTCACCAGTGCTTAGGTCACTAGCTACACAGTTGGAAACACAACTTAATGCTACTGCAGCGTGCTCACGACGCTAGTTGGTGTACATCATGGACTCAAACTCATCGATGCGCTGTCGGGTGTTGCCCTTGCGGATGTTCCTGTAGGAGACGGTGTTGTACATGTTGTACGAGCACTTGGCCACGTCTCTCCGTCGAGCCTCGACTGGAAACCCAATGGATGGGCTGCGGGGCTTGGCTGTAGGCGGCACCGCATCTGGCGCAGAGTCGGCACGGTTGGCATCGCTGGGAGAATCCCACTGCGGTGGCACCACCACCTCCTCCTCCGCTTGCACGGAGACTGATTGATCTGAACTGGGGCTCTCTCCTGCCTCAGTGGTCTCCCCTTCACCTGTTTCCACAGCAACCGCCTGATCTGGTAGGTGACCACGGTAAATGTTATGACTTGCGTTATTGAACACAATGATTCACCACTGCTAAACTATACCAAAAACCCACACATGTCAATCCACTGCTGCGAGAGGGCCTTCCCACGCCGTGTAGGCCGTGGGGGGGGGTCACTTACTTTCAACTTCACTTCCCTCGCCAGTGCGGGTTGACCAAGGTGGGGAGCACGCAATCACAGTACAAACGATGGATTTGTATGCACTCCCCTCTGCTGTCCACCACTATCACAGCCTCGCAGCTGCCTATGACAGCCTGGTATCCTTACCAAATAACTAACCAGGCTGAACCCTGCAAAGCTGGCCATATGGCGGGTGCATTTTGGGGATGTTTTTAAAGCATGTGACCGAGTAACTGATGCAAATTCTAATAATGATCTGTAATGGCAGGAAAATGTATATTTGGCATAAATATAGTTGAGTCAATGTTTAAATTTGGGCCCCCACAAATTATAGCCCAAGAGGTTGGTTTCACTTGTGGGGCAGTGTCAGCCAAAGTTTCTAATTTTCCAATGCGAAGCACTTAAAAGTATTTGTCATCAAATCAGTGAACCAAGTAATCTGCCTCCCGTGCAGAGCATTGCTAAAGCTAATAGTGGATGATGTTCGAATATTATAGAGCAATGCTGTGACAATGTGAAGGGTCTTGGAATAACATCTATGCCCTGTATGAACTGGTTGGGGATTGTCAGTGTCAGTGGCTGTGCACTATCAGAGGTTGCAATTTGGATCACAGACATAAAGCCAAGGACAAAAGAGTCAACATCACAAATGGAAGATGGATTTTGAGTTGTTCTGTTCGAAAACGGATTACTTTCCTCTGAAAGAGAGTGTACACTCGAGGTTGTTAGATGAAAAAAAAAACATGATAATGAACACCCCTTCGTCAATCCACTGCTGGATGAAGGTCCCCTCTCAATCGTGGGAATTGTTTGGCTGTACGTCACCGTGGGCGTGTTAGTGAAGTGGGTGCCCCGGGCCAAGTCAGAATTTAGTCAGCGTTGATATTAGCCATGGCCGGGAATTGAACTCATGTCACTGGGTTCATTGTATGACACGTTAACTACTGCATCATCACTCCACCATGGATTAATATGTACGTTCATGCATTAATTATAAACAAATTTCAGTGATACCATATCGATGAAAAATATGTATATGGGGTTACTGAGCCTTTGTTCACACTGACACTTTTCATTTGGAAATATCCAAAAATGTATATTTCGACCTCGATATTCATGTAATTTTCATCAGAAGGTTTTAAAACCACACACTCTTTTCTGATTATAATTGTAGCCATTGTTCACACGGAGTCGCAGGTGATGGTAATTGATCTAAACTCAGATAAAGATTCTAGCTCTTTTAATTACACGATATATCAAGGAACGGCAACTAAAAACAAACAGAAATCTGACACAGTATGCGTCAAAGCATATGTGTGTGTGAAGCATGGAGCATAACATGTCATTTTCAGTAAAATCATTAAGTTGCCCCCTGGATATATGACAGGAATTTGCGGTGTGTTGGGAATTGAGTCTTATATACATAGACAAATATAATATAACCAGTCCTCCAGCATACATCAGTTGAATGCTGTACAAATCTTATCGGACAAGTGTCATTTATGGTGTGTGTATTGTGACAAATCAACAAAATTGTAAATCTAATCAGCTGCGTTCCAGTTTCAGACACTGCATGACTTTAATCCAAACAATTGTTTGTTTCTTTTGCAACGAAAACTATCCGTTTATTTATTTAAGTTTTGGGTAATTGGGTCACGCTGTCTTTCCGACAGACCTGTTCTTCACCTGAGGACGGCTGCTTGCGTTGTGGCCGAAACGTCGTGAGAATTATTTTATTATGTTTTATGTTAATTATTTTATTATTTCCCTTCTACGCGACTTTACCGAAAGAACCAAGAAGATGGGTCACGTTGCTTACGCATAGAGAAAGTTAAACGCCTTACCTGCTTGTTCGGACCGAGGCGGAATGCTTGCCGGCTCGTCTGCGTGCGTTTTCTCGCCGTCAGCTTCACGTTTGTCTCCCTGCCGAGCTTCCTCCGTCTGACTGACACCATTCTCCGGAGTGCAGCCGTCGAGCTGCGATGACTCCTCACAGACATCCTCTCCCGTCTCTTCTCTCCCCTCCATCAGTGAGCTTTTGCCGTCCTGCGAGCTGCCATTGGTGGAGGTGATGATCGCGTCTGCGTCTTTCGTCTCTGCTGCATTATTCTCTGCCATGTCCTGTGATTGACGTACAGACGGAGACATACGACTCAGGGTAACAGTAGTAAAAACAAAGCAGGAATATTCACTTTGTTTTGCTCTGATTCACTTACTATTTCGATGCACTTCGTCCTGGGCGCTGGGATGGTCGCTTAGCAAGGAGTATAACTCAGAGGGGTTGGTGGTGGTGGGAGGGGGGGTTGTGCTTTTTAAACAATTTTTTATAAAATTTATCTAGCGTTGAACTTGATCGGCTATTGAAGCATAGCAGCAGTAATTGTCCGGCTGTTTGGCATTCGGAGTGTCCACTCGAGGGGCCCCGTGTGCCTAAATCAGATGCAAAGATTAGAGCTCAGAGTAATGCGGAAAGCACTTTTTTCTCTCCTGATCACTCTGGCATGGCGCTCTTGAAAATTCATTGAAACGAATCAACGAAATCTCTGGCACTTCAACCCGCGGCTTAGTAATTGAATGCCGTGCTTTGTGGTTGGTGCTTACCGGGGGACACTGGAAAAAAACTGCCTCATATGACTCCTAAGCCTTCTTAAAGGGGGTTGCTACTGTGTCGCTAAGGCGGAGAAACTTGTACCTTGTGCACTGCATTGCAATCATTTACACACACACACACATTCCTCTTGTTTAATACATCAAAAACATAGACACATTCATAAATAATGTATTAATTTGATCTACCACACTCATTTAAGACTGTCACGGTCAATAATAGTATTAATAATAATGACAACAATGCAAGCCTTTGTTAACAGTTGAAACTGCACGTAGTTTTGACAGAATATTGAAATGTGTGTCAGCATGTGCATTGTGAGGCTTCAAATCTAGAACATTGTGAGGCTGTCTTTTAACAGCTGTAAAAATGTCTTACGTGGAAATTGTCACAAGTACGCATTGTGGTTATGGTTGTGTTTTGGGAAATCAGCAAAAAGCATGCCTACACTTTGTTAAAACCCGTGTCACCATGGTAATATAATAGGCTTAGTTCATTAAACCTGTCTCTATGGATTGAGCTGCAAACCTCCATTTTATTAAAGTGTAACACTTAACTTCTGATTGAATGTGCACTACCCTTGTTTTTATGATTACCTGTTTAAGAAAACCTATCGTTTTGAAAACACATTGTTTTTTTATTCATCAGTTGCGCATAATAGATCTCGCTCCTCTTTTGACCAAGGGCGTTCTCCATTTCCAATGGCGTCAAAGATTACTTAATACATTTTCCCTGTTGCTGTGCAAAGCACTCAGTGCTGAATAGGATTTCCGTGTTCAGTTCCAATGATTTAACTCGCAATTACAGCAACAGGGGCATTGCAAGGGCACAGTCAACCCTGTACAGTCAATAGCTAAGCTTTTTGAGATAGGAGCAATTTAGTGTGCTGTGTTTCACTCTACATATTTCTGCTGCGTATTTCCCATAAATGTAAAGTGTGTATGTGAGTCAGGTGTGTAGCTTCGTGTTTGCATATTTGGCTTAATAGTGTAATCGTAAGCGCAGTTGCCACTAAGCTAGTTTGTGCCTGTGTTTGATGGTTTGAATCCAGGCAGTGCCTAGCAATGCCATAACGCATTTATCTCTCGGGAAGATCAGTGACTCCGTGGTACCACGAGCAAGGGCATGGTCATCGTGTTAAATGCCTATTCCTTGTATGTTATATGCAACCACACTTATGATTGTTAAAATAATATAAACGTTTACATTGTGTTAAATTTGCTCGATAAAATAAAGATAAGAAAAAAACATATGGCCAAAATGTCAATTCAATTAACCCTCAATCCAACACTCAATTTCCCTGGAAGGAAAAGAAAATCCTTCAAGATGATAATACAATGTAAACTTATGGTAGTCGAACCTAAGCAGCTGCTATGTAAAGCTCATTATTTGAAGGTCCTACGCTGGTCATGGTGCACAAGCACAAATAACAAAAAAACGCAACATTTGCATCAATAACAGTGCCTTAAAAGGAAAATGTATATGATAGGCGACATATTAGCCAATAACACTTCTCCATAGCACATGAAGAAGGACCATTACCCTATAAGTCACCTGCATTTCATGCAATTTTACCCATTTTAAAGGAGTGTCATTGACGAACATGTTGAGTTTCATCTATTATATAATCTAGAAGTATTCTTTGTGAGATCAAATAAATTTACCACAAGAGGGCAGTATTTGCTCAGTGGGCAGGGCCGATAATTTTTCAGCGCATGCAGTCCTCGACTTACGAACACATAGACTTACGAACACCCGCACTTACGAGCCAGTTTCCTCTTTTTTTTTACATCGACTTAAAATGCGAAATCACGCTTGAAAACTGAATTGCGGAACTATTTTGTCCAGCGGAGCGATCCTCTGTGAAATGTAATGAGTCAACCTCGTGCTGGGAGTGAGTGTTTGTGTGTGCGCTCACGTGTATGCCTTGTGTGTGTGTGTGCACGTGCCCCGTGTGTGTGTTACCGCAATTGTGGTAAACTCTTTTGCACCCCTGCCAACAAGCAAGCCAGCATCAGGGCTCAAGGTAAGTGAAAATAAAACAGATTTTCTTCTATTCATGTTACTTTATGTAAATTTTTACTTCTCGTTAAGTAGATGGCCTTGCTGTTTGGGATTGCGGGATCGAGATAAGGCGACATAGAGCTGCTGGCCGTGTGAGAAGACCGCCGTCTGCAGATCGATTCAAATGTAATCGAACGTCTGTCCCTGCGCCTCCGTCGTTCATGCAGGGGGCGCGTAGGTTTGCAGCGCCCCCTGCATGAAAACGACCGAAAGTGCAGCGTTCATCACAGATAGATGAAGTTGTGTGCTTATATAACAGTATTTATTATTATTCATAAGTTTCACAATGCTTCCCTTTTCTGTTCAACCCTAACTTATTTCATAGCACTGACCGTATGGGCATTTAAATACAGGATATTTTTGTGTTCTAACTTACGAACCGTTCGACTTACGAACGGGTCTCAGGAACAAAACATGTTCGTAAGTAGTGGACGTCTCTTAATTATATGACGTCATGAGAACGGGGGTTAATTGAATTCGATTGTATTACAATTAGGGTTGGGATTCAAGCCTAACACATGGGGTGCGGCATAGGCTCGGACAAATAATTGAACAAATAAGTAATCCATGTGAACAGTTTTAACACGTGATCACATAAATGTTATCAGGAGAAAACAAACGTTGCTTTATTTGTATTTTTGCCAAACCAGCAAAACACTGCCATGAAGACAGTCACAAAATTCACGGTTCGGTTCATTTGCCCATGAAGCAAAACGTTCCATTTTAAAGAACTGCATTAATGCATATATATCTCCAGTCACGCTTTATCCACTGCTGAATGAAGGTCTTGCCCAAGTCAAAGCCATCCATTATGGTCTCGTGATTTCTCATGAAAACGAGTTGATCTCATTGGTTGTCATTCCTTATACATTATTACAATATATGTTTCATTACGATTTCCAGTCAAGGTGCCTAACGACTCTAATGATCAGTGGGGTGGGGTTGGTCCCTCAACAGCCATTAGGCAGTGGTGTAAATTCCAGACCCCCCTTGACCAATGTATCCGTGGGGTGACGACTGGTGGCTTCCCACAAAGTGGTACTTAATCATCTCTGGAGGTATCATGGTCGAGGTGACCCTCCATCAATTATTGATGACTCAAATGTCGAATACGAAGGAGACATCACTGCCATAAACTCCCGCTACCCCTGACGCAATTATCTGCCTCAACCACCTCAATGTGAAATTGTAGTTGTTGCTCAACATCAACATCAGCCATACGAACACTGGATTACTATTGCCCTGCGAGTGGATACCTCTACCAACAGCGCCATCTAGCCAACATGAATTATAAACGATTTGGTTCATATAAAAAAGGGCGCAGCTGGGTTATCTTGCTGCGTAAATGTTAGCATTGGAGTGTCCATAAAATGTAAACAACGTTGGCTGTGGAGCTCTGGGCTGATAACAGATGGTAGGATCAGAGTCGGGACCCCAGTCAGCTGTGCCAAAAATACAAACCTTGTTGTGGACAAACATGGCTGCACTGGCAGCATGGGAGGACAAACGCCTTCTCAGTCGTGTACAGCTGCCATAGCTGGCCACATCAGGCGACATTGTGAAAGACCGGCAACAAGCCATGCTCTGAATGTGCACGGTCACCTCATTGGGCGAGCGAGGTGTCACACTGGCGCGTGCGCGTGTGTGTGTGTGTGTCAAGTTGCTCACTAATGCTGCTCGACTGCAGTGGAAACATGTGTCGACACAGATCTGGATCTTAAATGGGGGCATAACGGTTCTCCGGTGTGTGTGTGGTGGATGCGCCTTCGTCTGCTCCCAAATGTGTGTTGGTTGTTGTTGTTGTTAAAACTCAGTCTTTGCGTTGTTGTCGTGGAGCATTATGGGTGATACCATACCAGTAGACCTCCGTTCTGTCTCCCAATACAAATACTGTACCGTGTTTTAGTCATTTTACATATTGGATTTCCAGACCAATGTTATCCAGCAGCATTTTGTTTACGCAACTGAACTGGACCGGTTTTGACACTCTGGGTCTCATCGCCAAAGTTGATCAGTTAAGAAGGCAGGGTTGGGTTTAGGTGAAGAATATTAAATGAATATTAGTAATTTATAGACCTATGCAGTCTATGTCCAGATGAAGGCCTCTCTGCTGTGTGAGTTTGACCATACTTCACCATGCTAGTCAGTGCAGGTTTGTGAAGGGCGGAAGAACCGTTGTGATATTACTCTCTACCGATGTTATCCGTGGCTAGGAATTGACCTCTGCTTGCCAGACTCATAGTGAAGTGTGCTAACCACTGTGCTACTGCTCCCCAAAATAATATTTAATGGCCATCATTTTGTTCATTAAATGAGAAAAACATATCGAATGAAAAAGCTAAATTGGTAGAGAATGCAGTTGGCTGGCACAATGGATGAGCTGTTAGTACAATGGACTCTGAACTTTGTGACCTATTGAGCTCAAATTCTGGCCACAGCTAACATCAGTAGCGAGTGATATCTGAATCAGTCTGAACCCATTCACAAACCTGTACTGACCAGCATCCAGAGCCGGCCCAGCCACTAAGCGACCCTTGCAATTGCAAAGGGCCCCGTGGCCAGCAGAGGGCCCCCTAGAGTCACTGCTAACTAGTGGGTGAAAAAAATCATACATCAAAGGGGCCTCCAACCAAATTTTGCTTAGGGCCCCCAAAGGTCTAGGGCCGGCTCTGCCAGCATCATAAACCAGCGTAGTGAAGTATGGTCAAAGAAACCCTCTGGCCGAGAAGGCATGGGGAGGCTTTCATCCAGTAGTGGGAATAACAAAGGGCTGTACTTTATTATTAGAGTTGTAAAAAACTATTATTTAATTAATGAAGTACACAGTGAACATGATAGGGCATTATTCTGGTGGCTTATAAGTGAAATACAATTTTTAAAAAACTGCCAATGAAAAACACGCAATTTCAGATGACACACTTCCAACCAGTAGAGATGAGCATATATATCTCTAAAAAAAAGAATGACTTTGGTAATGTTAAACAATTTGTGGTCTTTTATGGTAAAATATTTTTTTTTCTTAAACATATCTCTGTTGAACTTCTTTCGCACCGTACGTAGCCAACCGTGCTAATCGGAGGTGCATATGTGAAAGCCTGGCACTGTAAAACGTGTTCACACGTTCCACTACTCAATCAAGCAGGAAGTAGAAACTATTGCGGCTCAAAATCTACCACTTCAGTACAGTACTTCGGAGTCATCAAATACATCTCAGGAAATACTTGGTAAATAAATAAGCAAATAAGGGAGGTTCGTGCACAACCCAACGGGAGCCAGATTCCACAGTCCCACGCGGTTTTCATGTATTCATGAAAAATATCACTGGCAACGTGAAAATGCCACGTTTGTGTTCACCGACTGGGGAAACAGAACTGTGAATGCTCGACTCTCATGCATTTCACAAAGTTTGAACTTTTCCCAACGGAACACGGCCTCGCTTTTACAGTGCGCATGTTAGTGTTTAGCTTGCACAAGCGGGTGTGGGGATGTGGTTCTGCTTCACTGTGTTGTTCCAATGCACCCCACCCAATGTCAGCACAATACACCGCTTTTGCCAAGTTTTTCCTGTAATTTTTGTGTGTCGGGGACGGGTGTGGGATGTGCAGTCGGGTGGGGGGGGGGATGGAGGAATTGGGATTGGAGGGGGTGTGGGCACGTCTCTAACTCAACTGCCTCTTTGTTAGGGTCTGGCATGTGTGTGCCATATGCAAAAGCTATTTCAAATTACTGTACGGTGCAGCACAATGCGTGGTCAGTTCGAGACGATCCATGCATTGGTAATACAACTTTACCATCATGCGACTTGGAAGTACAGAATTTATCACGTAGGCTCGCACCAAATAAAATCCGACCCCCAAATAAAGGATTCAAGAAATAGAAAAAAAGCCCTTGAAAATAAGCGTGTGTTCGTGGCGCGATTTGAATAAAGCGAGTCAGCAGGGCGAGCGTCAAAGTGGAAGTGAATTCCGCAGAAGGGGGGGGGGGGCACACGAAAAAGGCCCGGTCACCCATCGTACAGAGAGGCGTGAACTCGGCACGCACAACAGCCAAGACTGAAGTACCCTTGTTGGAACATATGGGCAAAGGAGGTCCTGTAAATCCAAACTGAACAATTTTTTCACCTTATTGTTCGGAAGCAACCTGGCCACAAATGATAGCCCAATAAAGCGGATTACCATGTGTAAATGTAGAGCAGGCAAGTACTCTAAACGCACGCTTTTAAGTGTGGAGGGAAATACCGAAGGACCCGGAGAAAGATCCACGTGACCACAGGGAGAACCTGCAAACTCCAAATATATAGGCGTCAGGGTTGGGATCGAACCGACGGACTCCTGTATACCAGGCGAGGTAATTAACATCTCGCTACCACGAGATGCAATGAAGGGGCAGCATAATTGACAGCATTGTTAACAGAATATGCTGTAATGTTAACTTTTTGTATGGAAAAAAACACAACTTTGATTTTAAGTCATTTATTCTGTAGTTCCACTTTTTAAAAAAAGTCAGGAGGCCTTTGCCATGAACAAGGGAACACATGTAACACCCCTTCATTGAAAGCTTCAGGATGGGACCTATGGACACGCTTCAAAAGGCAAAATGCAAAGAATTAACCCGTAAAAACAAAGTTTTTCACTATAAATCCTTTATATGCGTGGCATCGGTTTTATTTTATTATTCATTTATGTTTTTCTTGAGTAAGAGTTTCATTTTTATCACATTGGTATTTTAAATTAAATATGAAAAAAAATGTTCCTAAAAAGTGGAAAATTTTGGGAAAAAAATTTTCACCAAAATAAATTGTCACGCACAACGAGTCTGTGTGAAAAATATCAGCTCGATTGGATCACGGGAAGTGGGTTAAAAAACGACCGAAAGATTTGCACGGTCGTAAGCGCGCAAGCAAGCAAGCGAGTGAACTTAATATAAAGGATTTAAAAAGTAGCCAGTAACTCGAACGTCTTGATCCCCCATAGATTGCACATTCTGTCTCTAATGATGACGACAGCTAAAGAAGTCGAGCGGCATGATTAATGCTACTTAATTTAACTCCCGACTCAACCTTAGTGCTGAAATTCTGATCCTTGTATTCAGCTCGCATTTTTGCCAAGTGTACCTTATATTGCAAATAGAAACCTCAAGTTCTGTGTGGTATACCCTAAAGTGGAGTAAACAAATATGCATCTGAATACATTATTTTAAATAAGCAACGTTTCTAAATATGGCCTTTAAAAGGGAGCCGCTCCTTTTCAGCTTACAGTGTGAATTTCGCGAATTTATTTCATTAAAATTTTTACTTAAAAAAAATTTTCAACAGCCAATAAGATTAATACATTAAATATGTCCAGTGTGCATAGTGGCAATACTTGTGTTGAAATTAGCAGTTAAAGTATTGTCATACTCCAAACAAAATAACCACAGAAATGTCAGGAATTACAAACAAAAACCATACCAGGTCAATGGGAATAAGGTTTTTCTCAGAAAAAGAAAATTGTAGTCGTACTCTAGCATTTGACTCATAAGGGGAAATTTGCAAGAAACGCTAATCTGCTTCTATATGGTGGCACACACACTGATCTTATCAAGGAGAAAACTTGCAGACACGGGGTTGTCGCTCACATTTTAATGGCACTGTATGCACATAAGTCACCAGGGAACAGCACCTTCTCAATGTAACGATAAAAGCGCACGTAAAAGTCTTAGGAATATTAAACATTTCTTGGCACGCAAAATGTACTTTTTAAAAATGTAAGTACTTTAATCAACGTTAATAATATAGGCATAAGAAAATAGTTTTCTATTTCGTAAAAAAAACACCCATGGTGTCAAAAATTGTGCCAAACATTTTAAGGCAAAGGCATTTTTCATTTAAGGAAAGTTTTCCTGAAACAGTAATATCCTTTATATTTAAAGACTGCCCATTGACCAGAGACATAGCCTGGTTGGCATGGGCCCTGGTGCAAGACGTAAAATAGGGCTCCCTGTCCAATTTCCCCTCCTCTTCCGGCCCATGGGCCCGAGTCCAGTTGCACCAGCTTACACACTTCACAGCTATGCCACAGCCAGTGACCTTCAAAAGGGAGTTTGTTCCTCCTCCAGAGTCTTATTGAGTCCTGGGATGAAGCGACGGAGGCTCCTACGGAGGGAAGACTTCTTGCCCTTGCGTGGGAGTGTGCTCATGCTGCCGGCCAGGCTTTGGCTCTGCACCTGCTGGAGGTCCATTTCGCTGCGGCACATGCGCAGATTGTGACTGCCCTGGTCCAGGAAGCTCAACCCTGCTATTGCCGCGGCTGCCCCGGCACCATCCTTGCCGGCGCCGCCGTCCTGGGGGCCGCCGTACAAGCACGTGGTGTAGACGGCCTCGTCCGAGTCCTCGGCGATCACGGCCCAGTTGCTGGGCAGGCTGCTCATGCTGGAGAGCAGAGCGCCAGTGCGCTTGCTTCTGCAGAGCGGCGGGTTGAGGCTGTACAATGTGCTCAGCGTCTCGAACATGCTGTCGTCCTCCGCCACGAGGCCTGTGTGGCAAACAATCAAGAAGTGAACTTAATGTACGAAGTGTAACGGTGCAGCCTTGACAAATGCCTGCTGACACCAACGGCTCGTGAAAAAGCCTCCAGCAGAGGAAACACGAGAGAGCCTCGTGCCTACGCTGCCAAGCTGGTCTGTCATCTCCGAAGAATATCCACACTTTAACTAGCCGCATACGACCTACCGATCGACTAATTACCATGGTGCACCCATTTATACTGCTGGGTGGCAGGGGGATTAAAAATACTTGCACCATTGCTTCAACTGGATGCCGGAAGATTGAACCGGCAACCCCTGGATTACAAGTCCAGTGTGCTAACCATTACACCACAACAGCATCCAAGTAATGAACTGCGAGCTCCCGAACAATATGACCCAGATGCTGCAAAGCAACCATGGCATCAGTGTTAAAAAAAAAGTTCTTACTCAATTATCACGGAAAAACCTTCAAGTATATGGGCCCTTTTAGCTGAACATTCAGTGAAAAGAGACAATGTTTTACAAGTGAATTCGAGTACGGTACACGATATTGCCCTCATTCATCCCTCAAAAGGTACAGGTGTAATTTTGGATCAAAGCGATTGAAGCAGTCCCTATGTTGAATTATGCAAGCTGAGTTCCCACTTATTTGAATAATGGGATGCTTATTAACTCGTGTGTCATCAAACAGCCCATATTATGTAGACCACTTTTTGTTGCTATATATGTAAATTCACACAGTAATTACTAATCCGAAGACAACAGATTATATTCTCATTAATCGCGTGCCAGTGTTTGTAGCCGGTGTTGTGAGTGGTTTGAAACAGCTGCCTCTATGCACAAACATCTATATGCAACAGTGTTCGCATTGAATATACGTGATATAAACTACAGAGGACACCCTAATGCCCGTAATAAGACACTAGCCACTGCCCACTGAGCATTCGTAGAGTGTAGGGGTTTATATCCGTGGTTGATAAAATTGAGTACCACTTTGGGGGGAAGTCAACAGTGGTTGTCCTATGGTTTAGACTTGCCCCCACCATAGGAACGTGGAATTCCACTACTGGCTCGATTCTGTATACGGGAGAATGAGCATCACCTCAATGCTCATTTGAGCAAGATATTTAATTAATATTTGGCAATAATTAATTTCCCGCCTCCGATTAGCACAGTTGGCTACGTACGGCGCGAAAGAAGTTCAACATACGTACAATATAATACACATAATTTTCGTGAATTTAATATCTATATTATATGCTGCATAACTTATTCTGGTGGTTTTAACATACTGGTGTTTTAATTCATAAAAAATACATTATATGCTACACGGTGCATGTAATATATATTGTGCACTCCAAACTAGTAGTCGAGTGTATTGACACTGTACATTAAACATGGCGCTCACTGCACTGATAATGTCGGAGTTTACGTATGTTGAACTTATTTAGTACCGTGCTAATCAATGATGCAGGAAGTCGAGTGTTCCGCAAACCCACGTGCGTCTTGCACCATTATCAGGCACTGGCTGCACACACTCAGCAAGCGACTCGGTCTATGAACCTTCCAGAACCGAACTGAGTTTTAAGCTACTGCCTGAGTGCTGTACAGTGTCTTGGATTGTTGTTATTGCTGTTCTGGTGCCTTGTCCAAGTTTACATTTTGTTCTTGCAAACCTGAAAAAATGTAGATACTTGTGCAATTTGTACATCCATGCTATACATCTCTATTTACTATTGATTTGCTTCACTTTGATCTATCTTCCTCTTGTAACCTACTATTGATGTTAATGCAGCTTGCTGACCCACCCCTACTGGAAATCGGATGCCTCCAGTATAAATGCAGATTCTGATGCTGTATGTCTCTGCGATGTGTTTTGGGATGTGCCGCGTATTGTTCAGCATTGCGACTTTTAGAGAGATACTTTATTAAGACAGGTAAACAGCTGTTTTTCAAGGGTGACCTGGCATCTTGGACAGCATGCCAAATGGCACACGGTACAACCTTGAAAACTATTCATTTACATCTGTCCTATTTAATAACATTAAACTTTTTACCCTGGATGTTTTTTTTATTACCTTGTTGGTATGGCATACCATCTGTGTTTTTCCTATTTACACCGGGCCATACCAGCACATACGGAAGTGTTCTTACCGTGCACCAGTCGTTGCTCCTGGTGGAGAAGTGACCGTAACTCCTTACACTTTTCATGCATTGTTTGCTGTTGGATAAAATAGAAAATAACACAATTGTCAAAACCAGCACCAGTGATACTTACCATGAATCAACTCGAACTGGTTTATGCATAAGGTATACACATTCGTTCGTATACCTTGAGGTACTGAAGACGCGTTTGCAGCTCCATTCTTCTGGCCATTGTTCCAAACTCAACCTCAATCCTTAAAAAAAATATTCATAATTATATTTTAGTCGTTTGTATAACATTTCGGGTGCAGCAATCGTGCAGTGCCTATTGCATTATCTTCATTTGATGGCTATTACCAGTGGGTGATATCTGAAATGGATTACGAAGCAAAATACAAAAGTTGCTCTGTATCTTCACAGCAAGTACAAAATGTATTTCACTTTATTGGATGACCAGTCCTGGTTACTTTCAACTGTTTCATTGACCCACAACTGACCATCATGGCGAAGTATGGTGAAACAAACCCCCATTACCAGAATGCGGTAAGGAGCCCATCCAGAATTGAACTGACAAAGGAATGTAAATGTTTCTATATAAATTCATGATATTGCTTTTTGTTGTTTGGCATCTTGGTCCAATATACATTTGCAACAGATTATATGCAAGTGTTCATACCTTAAACAATTCCCAGCTTCTCGGATGATGTCGACAATTTCCTTATGAGGGATTCCTTCCACGTTTGAGTCATTGATGGTGATGAGGATGTCACCTAAGGCAGAGCATACCAACACGAGTTACTAGACACACAGGCTTGGAACATTGAGGGTAACATAGTGAGAGTTTGGGGACCTCATTTGCCAGTAAAAATATGATAATTGGTTCTTTACCCTTCTATCTGGCAACAAAACTGACACCTTTTTGCAAGGAGTCATGTTTGCATAGACCGCAATACCTGCAGTCATAAATACAAACAAAAGACATAACTCTGATAATGTGCACTGTCCTTGAAGTTGATTGGTCCACACCCGAGACAGCTTTCCTTCGAGCCTAGTCTCATATGGGTTGGACCAGATGACGCCAGATAGAAGGGTAAAGAACCAATTATCATAGTGAGAGTTTCATTGCAGTCTGAACACTCCAGATTGCTGTTCCAAGTCTTATTTTGGCACACCACATCCATTTCACTTTATTTTGATCTAATAATAAAAACATGTTCATACGATTACAGGAGACAATAACATAGGACTATTACAGATAAGTTTACCATGCACTCTAGTGATAATGCTTCAAGGCCGTGGCCATGGAGTCAACATGGGGGGGGGGGGGGGCAAATCTTCCAGGGGGTCTGGGGTCCCCCCCCCCAGAAAAAAAAATCAAAATTTGAAAATAATTTCCTTCCATTTCCTGACTAAAATATAAAAAAAATTCACTAACACGTGGGATGGACTATTTATTTATTTATTACAATGTCTAATAGTGTATTGTATTACATTGCTCTGTTTTTTTAACCTTTTCTTGTTTCATAGTATGTCATGGCAGAGATTAGGGATTCATGAAGTACAACCATAACGACAATCATATTCACGTACATCTATGCATTGTTATAGGAAGACAAGTCCAGATATTGTGGCCAAGGTTTAGCAAATTGTTGTTTTTATTTACATAGCATCGCCATTTGTATTAAAAAAAATATTTTTTATAGCAAAATGTTGAGTGAGAAATCAAGCCCTGACTATAGTCATAAACATGTTGCACATGTGGAGTGCCATGTAGAGAGTGAAGCACCTGCTTTCATCCCTGCGCGCTCAGCAGGGCCCTCTTCCTTCACCTTGAAGACATAGGTGCACATCTCCAGCTCACTGACCACTCTGTTGCGCAGCCCGTAAGTCTGCACGCAGAGGAAATTACACCAGGAAATTGTAGGTAGCCAGTGACCGGTAATGTCACAGCACAAGCGCTCACTGCACCATTGAGTGAACTGCCCGAATGTCAGAACTTGACCGTGAGCAACAATGGTTGGACTGTGTAAGATTTTGGCATTGGCTCCCCAAAAATGTAACGTCTGACATAATGTATGGAGCAGTGATTTTAATAAACTCCAACCTTTTGAAGCTAATAATAATAACATTTATGTGGTCATGAAAGTCTCACTGAATGTTTTACTTTTTCATGACATGTTTGGCCAATTCCTTTTTTGACGAGTGTTTTACATTTGGGAGAAAAACTCAAAAGTTTACACTAACGCAGGTTCATAAATCAACTCTCTCTACTGCCAAATCGTGGCCATCTCACAGCCAAGAGGGTTTGGGAGTCACAAATCTGCGCGGTTCACAAACCCTTGCCTCTTCCTAAGCTCTGGCTTACAGGTATGTGCATCATCACGCCTGTCTGGACCTGACCAGGAAGCGTCCTGCTGTCCATACATGACAGTTAACAGATACTTGTGACACGTGTGACTTGCTCTACCAGCCTACCGATGCCGGTGTCAAGGAGGCTCGCTTAAGTGGTCAATTTCTGGACTGTGGGAGCTTAATTAGTGGTAAGAGACACCGATCTAATGGAGCGTGGGCAGTGTGGGTAGTTGCGCCTCTAGAGCATGTGGGATTTATTCAATTGTCCTCTCGGCGAGTCCAAAGTGGAATCAGCTTATCTCAAGCGAACGCATCTGAAGGGTGCGCATCTAACCAAGCGAAATGCGGGCAATTAGGAAGGCACAGACCTGCAGCTCGAATCCGTATGATTCATCATCCTCCTTCTCGATGGCGATTGTACGCCTGAAATTCAATAAAAGAAGAAGATATATTGGTCAAGTTTTAAACAAGTTAGGCTGTAGGTAAACTAATACACCATGCGATCATGTCTGCCAACATGTTCTTTAGACACAAATATAATGCTTTAAATACCTTACCCTAACATAACAAAATATGCATTTTCTCACACTTTATTTGAATTATAATTCTATACAAATGCTAGGAAATAATAGCAGTGGTTAACACACAGCACCATGAGCCTGCCGATCTGTGTTTTATTCCCGGGCTAGAGCTAACATTAGTGACGAGTGACATCTCAATCAGGCATGGTTCACTTTCCACCAACCGAAAATTTACCTGCACAGTGAAGTGTGGTCAAAAACCCCCCCATGACTGACATGGCGTGGGAAGGCCTTCATCTAGCAGTGGCGTTGACAATGGACTGTCGTTTATTGTTAATAAAATAAACTGTACCTTGTAGATTCTGCTAATCCATGGTATGTGTTTTTCCAACGGGTGATCACACTCTGTGAAGAACACACAGGCACAAGTAAGTCACGCCACGCCGCTTGCTGCGATTACATGAACCACAACAGTGTTTTCACTGCATGTGATGTGAATGTGTATAAGCTAGCTTGTAAAAACAACAGAACATCAGAATACACGAACGCAATTAATCAACCTTGTTCCATGTCTGGCTGTCACTAATTAGCGCACAAATATGACATACATACAGTCGTCTGGAAAATATGTAGCACATCGAAAGAAAATATGTACATTCATTACTTTCAGGCAGCTAGGGAACAATTTATTGAATTTTCAGTGAGTGGCTTTTCCGAATTATCAGGCAGTCCGCAAGACATGCCCACGCAGTCTCCCATACATTTCTAGGCTGACTTCCTGAATGTTGGCCTCTCCATAACAGCCTGAAGCATTTCAGGCGATTTCGCTACAATCGACTGAAATTTCGCAGAAATCGTCTGAAATCGCAGTGGAGTGTGTTACATTTAACGGATCACGACGTGTGTATTATTGTTTTAGGCTGTTTAATATAAATAAATGTATCATTCACATTCATTGATGTGAGAGATAATGAAGGCGGGGAGAAGGCCTTCATCCAACAGTCACTTTCCATGGCGCACGATAACAATGAGTGTCAATTAACCTCTAAAAGAATCCTTTTGAAATTCAAAACTGACTTCTCCCGGAGAGCCGAGAGAGAGAGCTTGTTAGTTGATGTCCCATTGTCTCCGAACAATGACGAAGCAGCACGTTCACTTGAGGCCACCCAGGGCATGTGCATTATTCAGTCCACACAATGCCCTGCGACCCATTCGAGATATATAATCAGGCGTACTTTCGTAAACCCAGAGATTCTAGCGAGCGAGTTCACGCACGTGTCACGCACGTGCCACGCGCATCGCCTTCACCGCACTCCTCCGTGAGATGCACAGAGGCAACCTTGAAATACAACGATCGTCTCGGCGTGAATGTAATCCGCCAAGGGTGGCACAGTCGGGTTTTTTTTATAATCGGGTTTAATTGTCTTATTATATTAAACCCGATCATCTGAGATTGGGAGAAATCCGGTTTAATTGGTTCTAATTGCAGAACCGCACTTCTCAACGATGGGCTTCATCCATTCCAAGCTAAGGAACTCACTGGCGCCCACGATTGTGGAGAAGAAGCTCCTCGTGTTCATCACGACCAACCTGCCCGCCGCATTCTACGACTACCCCGTGCCCGACGGCCCCCCGAGTACGATAGCAGCACCGACGAAGAAAGCAGCCTAAGTCTTGTATCAGAGTTTCGTATTCATTAAACCAGGTTTTAATTCCCACGAAATCGGGTTTAATTGTATTAAAGAAAAAACCCGACGCCTGCCGCTGGAAAAATCGGGTTTTTTCCACCCACAAAATCCACACAATCGATTCCACGGCCACCGAACGAACGCGCGCAATTCTGCAGTCCCGAAGCGCCGGATGAATTCTCCACGCACCTTGGGTTTATGATTGCGCGGCAGCGTGGCCACTGTGTACGCCAAGTTGTGGAGCCTCTTGACGTCCTCGTCGCCCTCGTCCTTCTCCTCATCCTCCGGGGCCACCTGAAAGACGCTGACCTCGGGCAAAGTCCCGAGCGGCTCGCAGTCGGCGCTCCATGCCCGGGCGAGTTCCTTGCTCATCGCTCAAGCGGCAGGGGGTGGGTAGTCGTCGTAGTCGTAGGGGGGGGTGGGAGCGCGAGTTTGAGAGAGCGTCTGCCCCGGCCGTGAACCGTCCAGCATCACACGCGCTGCCCGACTCTACACTTCGTCCCAACAGAGGAACTTACTGGCAGCGCCGTGGACTGCGATCAAAAAACGCGCGACCGTCCTGGGTAAAGTATATGTTAGACGCAGGTGCCGCTGTCTATTTAGTGATCAAAATCTGCCGGCTCTCTCTCTCTCTGTTCCACCACGTGCCAGCTCCCCACGGCTCCCGCCATCCGTTTGGTGGTCAAAATACTCCCCGGCAAGAGGGGGGGGGGGGGGGGGGGTGGGGAGAAGGGGAGAAACAAAAAAAATTGCGCAACAACTTTGTTAGCAGTTGGTCTGTTGGAATTTTGGCCCAGATGACCGAAACGGGTTGAGTGTGCGCGCGTGTTAGTGTGGGCTAAGTCTCCCGAAACAAACTCCCTCTCTCTACTCCACGCCGAAGCACACAGCTCGCATGCCGGGCGGTGGCGACAGCCGTCGTCTCACTTCGTGTGAAGCTCACGCACCCCTTGCCACTGTTCCACAGGATGTGTGCGTTTCCTGAGTGTGCAGCTATCGTTGGTGACGGCTGCCGTTTCCGCTTCCTACACAGGGCACGGGACTTGCCGTGGCTTCTGCTTCGGGGCTTTAAACGGCATGCGACGCGCGTAATAAAAGGCACCGCCGGTGTGGGCACTTGTTTGCTGCACACACGTGTCTTTTTTTGGAGGACACTTTAAGAATGTCCGTGCCACCTTACCATAACGCGAGTTATCCGTCTCATTTCAGCTCCCTGTTGCAGAGAGGACACCAGTGGCATTCTTTTGCGGGGCAATCAATTTACCGTGTCAAAGAATGACTCAAAGCAATTAATAAGCCAGCCGATAAGGAAAATGTGGCCAAAAAAAACTGCTCACGTCTGTGTAACCGAATGCATCGAAATACTTTATAATTACTCATTTTATTTATTTACGTCGGTACGAAACATTTAGCCTGAAGCAATTTTGCAAGATTGGCCCATGGATGATCTTCAAAATCTGAATATTTATACTGGAGGAATCCCATGAGCTATAAAGCTCATTTTCCACAGATGTCCAGTCAGGGCACGGGCAGGGCCGGATTAAGATGTTGTAGGCCCCTGGGCTACAGGTACTGTGAGCCCCCCAGTAATACTTTTTAAAGGAAATCAAAGTTGAATAAAAATAACATTTATTTTTACAAGGCTAACAACAAATAAAATGCATCATTCGCAAATTAAATAACTTTTCACTTCATCTCTGGAGGCCCTCCAGCTGGCGGAGGCCCCTGGGCTTGCAACCTCCAAAGCCCCGTTGCCTTAATTCGCCCCTGAGCACGGGGTATTGAAAGAATGTTGCATTGTTGTACAGTATTGAATTTACAAGAAGTACGAGTCATCGGGCGATTTCCGTGCGGGAGTGTCTTGTCTGTTTCAACACAGAGCCGAACATCCGCTCTGAGTGTGTGTGGTGAGTTACGTGAAGACCCGTTTAGTAATCACGCAACAGCCTCAATGTGCTCACTCGTAAACTCTGCCCTGGAGTGGACGTTGTTTTTCACGCTCTCTGCTGGCCGCCTTGCGAAAGCTCCATTTATTTCGCTAACTGCGGCTTGTTGACCCTTGCCAACAGCACCGCATTATCAATTTATGGGGCTCTCCACGAAAGGGCCAAACATCTTGAGTGTTACAGGCATAAAAGGCGGAGAAGTCACCGAGGCAATATGTGATTTGCTGATATGATTGGGGTGGATTGTGGGGTGGAGATTCGTGGGCTTTGGGTTCACGGATTTCTCTCTGAATACAAATGCATTGGGCTTACAGCTTTAGCGTACCAATGTGCTGTTCGCCCGATGTAATTCGTGTGAACAGGGACCACCACGTCGTGAACTTAAGCTGCCGAAGTACAACATTATTTGTTCCCTCTCTCCAGAAGCCAGCAGATAACCGCCGAACTGAATTGCACGAAACGTCAACCAAACACTCCGACTCTGAAACATCCCCTGCAGCTTTATTCCAAGAGCACGATGAAAATGCGGATCCGCAACTAAGATTGCATCCAAGCAGTACAGCGATTATATTCACTCAGCGCAATGCGATGAAGACCACAACCAGCCGTGATCAATCCACTGCTGGATGAAGTCCTCCCGAAGCCGTTGTCATCTCTCACGACGTAATAATATACCTAGCACCTGCTGATTGTGTTGCTCCCTCTACACGGCGGACGGCCAATTGCATTCGTTCCATACCTTGGCTGTCGTTCGCTTACAGCCCTTGACCAGCGCGACGTGTCCTGCCAATGGACACCTTAAGTGATCACAACACTGGGGTTCTAATAGGATGGATACGAGGCATTTATTATTCGAATGATAACGTATATAGAGTATACACATTTATTAATTATTTTCCAATACTTATTGATCTTTAACGTCCTCTAGTGGCGACGTGTGTTGTAATTATTGTATTGTTTCTGATTTTAACTGTACAGTATTTGAATGGAATCTGTCACGTGTAACTGAATTCAACTAAACATACACTCACTGTATACACAACGATGTTTTTTTATTCGAGCGGTTAACAGATTTTAAAATACATATACGAGACCACGAAATAGCGAAATAAAACTGTAAGATTTAAAACAAATCGGAACATCTTACACAGTACACTAATGCATATAGGGGGTGGAAGATTGGTGTTGTGATTTGCGCGCTGCGCTATGGATAACGTCCCCAGGAATCCGTTTGATTTCTAGCCATGGCTACCATTATTGGCCACTGATATCTGAGCCGGTCCTGGTCGCCTCTTCACCAACCCACAGCGATGAGCGTAAAGCATGGTCAAACAACTGCCATGACCGACGCATTATCGTTAACTTCGATTTTTCAAAACATAGTAAACCGACGTGACATACACATGTTTTATCCCACTCTTGATTAACACAAAATAATAATTTGGAACGACATACACATCAATATCCTAACACCACCTTTTATTGCAGCGGAAGGCACTTATTCTAGAAAATAAAACGTGAATCAGAAACCCTGTAAAGATGCAGTGAGATAAGAGGGCTGCGGTTTTTGCGTGAAGGTGTTGCAATGATAAACAAAAAACCCACTTCTCATTGTATGGTGGACGTCGCCACGCAGGGCGACTTTTGCACGTGTGCTCGAGCCCGATTCCGGTTGCTGTGCTTGACCGCAAGGAACAGAAGGATTGGCACCACGTTTTACAAAGTGGCGTTTTCACATTCATATTCTTAGGTTTTTTCGGTAAAGTCACGTAGGTAAAAAATTAAAATTAATAAAAGTAAAATAAAAATAAAATAAAAATCACGACGTTTCGGAGGCGACACAAGCTTCCGTCTTCAGGTGGAACCGTCACAGCCCGACAGCTGTATCAAGTAAGATAAAAAAAAACACACAACAGCGCCATTGACCCCCCAAAGCGTGGGGAATTGAAACGCCCGTTGCAGACGACTCTCTTAAATGAGCCAACGTCGAGATGACGAAGCCTACACGGCGCGGCGATATACGACTGGAGCTTGGATCGTTGGGTCGATTTGGCCATAGGGTTTCTCATAATGGAATAATATACCCGTTACAGCTGTCACAAGACGAAGCTTTCATGGCCAAACGAAGCAACATCAATGACGTTAACGCCCCAAAACCTCCAGGAATGCGTTTGTGGATTTTACGCTTAATGTACCAGACTTTGAAGTTCCGCTATTCATCAGTATAGTATAAACATTATGCGTGCCATATAATATAAAAAAATTTTCTATTCCCCCATCTGGCAAATGTTCAGTAAAAAATATTGTACTACACAATTTCAAGCGTTGGAATTAGTGTATGCTCACTGTACCAACATAAATAATGCATTTTTAAAACCAAGATAACCTTGAAACATGGAAAATGTTGTGTAGGCTGTGCTCAATATTTGTACGCTTGTTGTCTGCTGATATATATTTGTACCGAAACAATCCAGATCCCACTTGCATGGGAGCGTTGTGTCTGAATGAGCTCTCACCAAAACATCTGCCTGCCGTAGCTACCTCGTGTGCTGCAAGTTTGGTAGACATGGCTCAGTCTCCAGTGGTCAGAGGCCACACTCCACGGTGCAAAACCGCATTCAGTTGGGTGGGTCGCGCCGATAAAAGCGGAGTTGCATCACCAGCCCTAAGCGGCTTTCGCAGCCAGCGACGGAATGAAATTGGATACCCCGTGGCTCGTCCATCGGAGGGCGCTCGCTGGTGCATGGATTTGTGACTGGTTTGGAGAGGGTTATACTCTCTTATATCCACAGTCTCCATAGCATGTGGTTGCCTGTGCAAATTAAGTGATGGAACGGGCTCGGTGGTTCACGTAACCCTTGAATGTGAAAACCAATAAATTGTTTTATTTTATTTTATTACTCAAATGTCCTCGATGGGGAGTGTTTATTGAGGGCGGCATGGTTATTTGGGCGGCAGGGTGGCACAGTGGTAGAATGTGTGCCTCACAGTAAGAAAAATGTTCTCCCCCTATTTTGCAGGGGTTTCCTCCGGGTCTTTCGGTTTCCTCCCATAGCGAAAACAAACATAACATGTAACTGGTATTGGTCAAACACTTCAATAATAATAATAGTAATAAAATACCTGTGAATTATTCAATTGGGATTGCACAAAACATTCAGACTTTCATTGGTATAGAGGTGTAATACTAATGATGATACAATACTGTTTACATTAATAATTCACATGTGTTATTGTCGACACAATTTCGACCAATATAATGGTAAACATGCGTGGATAGAGAACTGTTGCCTCGTTTATTTATTTATTACATATTCCTACTCCACGCATATGAGACCCGAGGCTAAAATATCATAACAGTAACAGTTTAACGAGTGCAATAAAGTGCACATTCAATTACAATTGACTAATTTTCATGGTCCAGCACACAACGCATTATGAGCAGGGGTGAATCATTTGATGGGTGCTTCTGTACAAAATTAAGTCCCTGTGCGGAGCTGGAAAGGAAGGTCAGTCTCCAATTCAATCTGCCTTTGGCAACGCTGTAATTGGCAATATACAGACAAATGAAAAAGTGAATGCAATGGAAATGCAACACAGTTGTGCCAAAGTCTTTTTCCATTCGATCTAAACAAAGCGCGTTATAACAACAGAGGCGGAGGGTGAATTAATGGCATCACAATAAAATCAATGCAAACTGGCCAATGTTGCTTTTAGATCCGGTTAAGTTGCCTGTTTCTTCGATCCCTGCTTTTGAAACAAAAGTTAGTTTCGTTTAATAGATCTTATTTTTTCATAGTCTCCAAATAAATGTGCTGTTCGAGGAAGTGCAATTTAGACCAATACCAACTTTACGTTGCCTATCAAAAAATCGATTATGAATATTTAGTATTTCTGTATCTAAGATGGGGATATAGTTAAGTGAACTGGTAAACAGATCCATCTATCAGGAGATGCGGGGCCCAGGGCAAATCCTACTGTGTGCCCCCCCCCCCCGACGCCTTCAAACTAAACCGGAGGTATTACACCTGATACTGTGACGTCAAAGCGCATTCCACAACCCCGAAAACGCAGGACCCGCGGCGGTTGCCACGATTTGCCTGATCCTCGCAACGTCTCTACTGGCAAATTATAATCACGCAAACAGTAGCAGCGCTGTATTTACAGCAGGCACATTACACATCTTGGTTGTGTATTATCGGTAGCCGGTTTGCCGCACGCATTGCTAGGTTGAGCAATGAACACATTTGTTTTAACTGAGAAGCAAGTGGTTAGCACACAGGACTCGCAATCCAGAAGCCGCCGGTTCGACGGAGCAGTGGAAGCAATGGGCACATTTCTTAAATACCACCCTCGTTTTCCCAGAAATACGCATGTTTACATTGCAGATATAATCTCTTGGCAGGTCGTGTGTGTGGTCGGTTTGTGGGTACTCCTACCTCTTCCAACAATGTCTGCTCAGCGTGGAAAATTAGACCAAATAAGCTCTAGAGCTCTCTCCAGTGGAAGCCCTTCGGAAAGAAGTGGCGTTAATAAATGCAGGGTTTCACTGCTCACGTTGTCACTTAAACCGCCGTGCCGTTTGTACTTTTGGGCGTACCTACCAATCATTACCAACATTCCACTGGAATCGATTCCGAATCATTATTAATTATGCTGGTTATAGTCTTTAAAAAACACTCCAAACATTATCGGTTCTGAAAACGATTAACGGTTTAGATTCTCGTTTAAACCTAATTTAAACATCTACCACAATGCTGCATTCCCACACGAAACCCAAAACGCGTTGTCCAACGCGCAATATGCGCCGTCGTTAATGAAGGAAAATACTTCTAATCAACCTTCAGCTGCACGGCTGACGAGATGATTTTTTGTGAACTTAGGCACAAATACTTGGCTAAATAGGACGATGGCCAGGGGCTAGAATATCGACGGAGTGGCAGCCAAAGGAAAACAATACCGAGTTGGATGTTCATGAAATGCTTTTGGGACGCCTTCAGTCAAGTACTATAGTAGAGATCATAGCTGATTATTCGTCTCTATGTTCGGCTACGCCTTTTGTTGTACCACATTTATTTAACCCCAAGCCTACCCTTGAATAAGCAACTCTTTTTACACAATTTTGTGACATTGTGCGTTGACAGTGGTGCGTGCATAGGCACACACAAAACAAAAACAAGTTTGTCAATAACGCTGTCTGAAAATGAAATTAAAGCAACGTTTCGGGAAATAGCCCTACTTGTATATAAGTGAGTTCTAACCATACGCGGTCAACTCGCTTCAGAATATTTATACTGGACGAATCCGATGAACAATAAAGCTCTTTCACCACGTGCGCTGTAACATAATAAAATGAATCTGCGACGGAATGATACATTATGTTCACGTAGAAGAAAGCCATTCAGTGTCAAGGGGCGACCTCGTGTGGGCTTTTTCGACCTAGAAATCGTCTCTTTAGATCCCGAAATCATGTGACAGGAATAACTTTTAACGACTAAAAAAAATTCGTATAAAAAATATCACAGCTTGATCCATGTTCGATCACATACACCAACAATACTAACAATGTTATAGCTCGAACGCTGCTTGATCAGTGCTCGACTCGGTGTCGTTCAACATAATAACGAATCCAAACGCTCCGTGACACTCGCCACGTGGCCGAGCGAGAGGCGCCGTCACAATTGGACCAACGCGACTCCGCGTCACGTGACCGACCCTCGTCGCGTCAACGTCGCGTGACGTCATCATCACGTGCGCGCCGCAACGGCCGCCATCTTGGGTGAGGGTATAATTCCACAACGACAGCGTTAGCCGCCGTCACCGCGGCGCCTCTGTGCCAGGCTAGGTGCACTTTGAGGCCACGTGAAGGAGCTCACGGGACAGACCCGGGTGCCCATGGGTTGACTGAGGTGGAAGGCAGATGCGCACCACGTGTGCCCCTCCCGACTTTGTACATTTTAAACGCCCGTCGCTCCGCTCGTTGTTGTGAGCGTCCCCTCCTCTGCCCCTCTCCCTCGTTGTTGGATGGCGACTGCCTCCAACTACACGCGCAAGAGCGCTTCTTCGCGAGCCTCCTCCACAGAGGCCGACATCGAGACACCGCGCTGGTGCCGGCCCTCGGGCAAGCCCGCTCAGCTCCACGTCCCCTCCCGTACCACACCAGTCACACGTTTCATCTTCTTCTGCAGTCCTCGTGCCCATTTAGCCCCCACCCCCATAGGGCTCTTTGTAAACCCTCTTCACACACACACACACACCCCCATAGGGCTCTTTGTAAACCCTCTCTTCACCCCGTCCCCCTACGTAAGGTGGCCGCACCGAGGTGAGGCAAGAGAGTGAAGGGGGCGTGGCAAGAGCGTGAAGGGGGCGTGGCAAGAGGGTGAAGGGGGCGTGGCAAGAGAGTGAAGGGGGCGTGGCAAGAGAGTGGAGGGGGGCGTGGCAAGAGGGTGAAGGGGGCGTGGCAAGAGAGTGAAGGGGGCGTGGCAAGAGAGCGAAGGGGGCGTGGCAAGAGAGTGAAGGGGGCGTGGCAAGAGCGTGAAGGGGGCGTGGCAAGAGAGTGAAGGGGGCGTGGCAAGAGGGTGAAGGGGGCGTGGCAAGAGGGTGAAGGGGCGTGGCAAGAGAGTGAAGGGGGCGTGGCAAGAGAGTGAAGGGAGCGTGGCAAGAGAGTGAAGGGGGGCGTGGCAAGAGGGTGAAGGGGGCGTGGCAAGAGAGTGAAGGGGGCGTGGCAAGAGAGTGAAGGGGCGTGGCAAGAGAGTGGAGGGGGGCGTGGCAAGAGGGTGAAGGGGGCGTGGCAAGAGAGTGAAGGGGGCGTGGCAAGAGAGTGAAGGGGGGCGTGGCAAGAGGGTGAAGGGGGCGTGGCAAGAGAGTGAAGGGGGGCGTGGCAAGAGGGTGAAGGGGGCGTGGCAAGAGAGTGAAGGGGGGCGTGGCAAGAGGGTGAAGGGGGCGTGGCAAGAGAGTGAAGGGGGCGTGGCAAGAGAGTGAAGGGGGCGTGGCGTAGCCGAGCACGTGGCGCGGTGGGAGGAGCACGCGCAGCGTCAGTGGCGGACGGGTCGCGGTGAAGTCGCTTGCGGGAACTCTCCGCCAACAACACGAACATCACCACCAACATCACCACCAACATCACCACCAACAACACCAACATCACCACCAACAACACCAACATCACCACCAACATCACCACCAACAACACCACCAACAACACGAACATCACCACCAACAACACCAACATCACCACCAACATCACCACCAACAACACCAACATCACCACCAACAACACCAACATCACCGCTAACAACACGAACATCATCGCCACCCATCCACCCGTCGTCGTCTCCGTCGTTTCGCGTTGTCCCCGCGGTATTCGGAACGCGTGGCTGCGTTGTCGAGAGCCATCGCGAGCCAACGCAGTGAGTTGTTGTTGTTGTTGTCGTGGTCGTGGTGGTCCGTGCGCCCCACCGAATCGACGCTGTCGAAGTTACCACCGTCGCCAACTCTCGCACAGCCGGGAGACTTTTGATTAAATCAATAAAGTTACTGGATATACGAAAGAAGGCAAAGTGCCCGGCCGTAACGCGAGTTTGACGCTTTCCAATTCGCGATGTAAGTGGCATCTAAAGTTACGATGGCGATGTCACCAATGTTGAATTGAAAACAAAGCAATTTACAGACATCTGTAGAGACGTTGCCGGATTATGTCGTCCTCTCAAACCGGGTGGGTTTGTTGGGATGTGATTTGTTCTGTAAAGATATTATAGACGCTGGTCAGTGCGGCTATGCACTGATGTGGTTTCAATTGACCACCGACTGCGATGTTTGTTTTCTCATTCATTCACACCTGATGACGGTTGCTTGTGTTGCAATCGAAACGTCGTAATTCTATTTATTTTATTTCTACGTGACTTTACCGAAACAACCAAAGAGTATGGGATAAGGGTGGTTATGTATGTATGGGTGACGATAGATTCAGATGTACATCGCCGCTGATGTTTGCCCTTGACTGGGAATCAAGCTGGGGTCACCTGCTGTGATATACTCTGCCCGTATAGTACTTAAAGAACACGGGATTAACGTCGAGATGATGTAACGATGACCCCCCACCACGCCAGAGAGAACGCTTGTGTATATATTGTACAATGTTCGTAATTGAAATTCTAATTGAAATTCTGTTTTAATCAAGGACGCTCAGTGTCTCGCAAGCCCGGGGCTCACGACCCAGGTGCATAGCGACCACAACCTCGGAGCAATCACAATTGTAGCTGTCTTTTATCTTAATTAATTGCATTGACAATGTAATTGTGAATCCAGCTGACAATGCTGCAGTGATTATAATTGAAATGAACCGCTGTAGTCGTTTTCGGAATCATCACGATTCGTGGGACTGATGGGCTCCGTAGGTGTCAATTGTTTTATACCATCGAATATTTTAAGTTGTGATGCAGGACAATAACGTTTTATTGCTATTATGGCTATTTGTTTGAAAATGTAATTGCTATTTCGTAAATGTCAGGAAATCAGACGTTTAAACAAATACAATGAGCAAGGAAATTTTCCAAAATGCACTCTGATTAGTGTGAACATTTACGATGTCTCGTAGTAGAGAATATCACTAATTCGCTGCGACCCAAATATTAAGTGAACACATAAGTGAGGCGATCCTATGGAGACCAAGCTTCTCTGGCCCTGGCGTTGTCGGGGTATGTATAAATACTAAGATGTACTGTTGACCGACAGTGGTGCAGATTAAGAGATTCGTTTAATCCGCGGTTGAACTTGTAAATACCGCGCAAATAGCCACGTTTATTTAGGTTATTCAGGCGTGATGTAATAAAAAAAGCCTTTTTGCAAACGTTTTTAACTTTTCAAACGCTGTCATAATTTCTACCATCCCCCCCCCCTCTTCTTACAGATCAACTACTGTACTTCAAGTTTACGTCCGTGATCAATGACTTAATGTTGACGTCCACCATCCAAGGAAGCTTTAGAGAGGAGTGCAGTCAGGCAAACACTTGACCACAACTAATTCATGTCCCCATGGGCTTACCGTGCGTGACGCTTGCCGAACGAACCACTTGCCTTAAATCCTCAAAAAGGATATAACTCAGCCAGGCACTTGTATAACTTGACGGTCTGATCTGCTGCGTTTCAAATAAGATATGGGTGAAGCTGTAGCCTGCTGTTGAGATTTAGCTTGCTGAACATAGCTGCATGCAGCCAGCAAGGTAACAATCCGGAGATCGTACAGATTTGAGGTCAGTTTTGGTTTAGAAATTTTTTTTAACGAATTTAAAGCTCTTTAGACGGATGCTTAAGACTGAAGTGGAATTCATCATCTACATTTGTGAAAACGAACAGAGACTGAATGGGAACATGTGCCCCCATGACCTCGAGTGGTGTGTGCAAGATTTCATCACGTGTGGATTTTTCAAAAATCCTCTTTTATGTTAGCCTGCATTTTGCCCTTGGAGCTTGGCATATTTGTGTACTATATACATTATTGACGAGAAGCACATAAGTGAATACTTTATTTTTTTAAACATAAACAGTCATGATATTGTCTTCATATTCAACACAAGACATCGTGTCAGCCGTGGCCACCTTTAGTACCATCGCATTTTTTTTCACCGGAATGTAAGTCATTCATTCACAACACATGTTTTACAAAAACACTGAAAGCTTTGTCATTTGTACGGCTGCAACACTGTTCGCATCGTCGTTTGCAATGTTTAAAATATATGTCATCCATAACAGAGTTTTTGGGTTAAGTCGCGTGCGTAAATATATAAATGTGTCGTTAAACCTGCCACCACCCTGACACAGCCAATTCGTAAGGTTTGTCACGTAAACAGATTGGCATGTTCTGTTTTCGTGACAAACCTTACTAATTGGCTGTGTCGGGTGGTGGTGCGTTTAACGACACATTTAGAACTTTACGCGATCTAACCCAAGAAAACCTGTATTATGGATGATATTGGCCGCGATAAGCCTACGTGTTAAACTTAAATATATTGGTAAAAAAGATTGTTTAACAAATTTTTTCGTTAAAGCAAGTCTTGTTTTTTGTCTGCCCCGCAGTGATATATGTTTGAAAATTAAAAGGAAGGGGAACACTAATGGATTATCAATGTTTCCTTTTGTCGCATGCACTGTCTGGTAAGCCGCATCTGATGCCTTGATGACTTTCAGATTCAATTTTTTCAATTCGACGTCATAACCAAAGCATTGTTGCAAATGTTTCGTTCCAAATGTTTGGTGATTCACAATAATACATCATGCACTCATTGTCATTCAGTTCAGTGCTGTGGTTGAGGTATGGATTACTGAAGACTGACATGACATTAATATACGTCAATGCTGCTGGGGCTTTTATAGAGTTCCTGTACGTCCTTTACTTCTATAGTCACGCCGACGAAAAGGTATGGCACGGTATCGTATGCACTTTTTACATTACACCATTACAAACAGCATTTATTGTTGCGTGGTGTTGTACATTCATGAACGTGACGTGTCGAGTTTTTAATTCGGCATACCTGTGTTGCTAGAAACCACTTCACAGGATGTTGTTAGGCGCCACGTGCATCCTATTCGCGACGCTTGTTTACATAAAGTTCTTGGCGGAAGATGTGGAAACTGCAAAGTATCACCTGGGTCTGCTCTGCACTTTCGGTGCAGTTATCAATTTTGGCGCGCCACTTGCTTCCATTGTAAGTCAGCAAACACATTACAGCTGTTGACATCTACGCAGTTTTCAGAATTTTTAAATGTAATAACATTGGTTAAACAAACAGTTTCGTATGCTTAATTTGTAATGTGTTGCTGTGTGAACATGTTTCAAATACAGCACTGTTTCATAACTTGCTTTAGTGTTTGGCCAGGAATAAGACGCTATATGAATAAAAATAAGATTTAAAAACGATAAATATAGGAAATGTAGATTGTGGTCTGCTTTTGATTACATTTTGTTTAGAAAAAATCTGGCTTGTGTAGAGGGTTGGACTTTGTTGGAATAATCACTAGGTGGCAGTCATTCCACATAAACATCATGGCTGTTGACATGGAAGGACTTAAAATGAAAACCATTTATTTTCTAAGCCATAAAATACTATCCAAAACACATCTGCCTATTAGCATGCTCAGTGCCATTACTACACTGATGTGAACCAGCATGGTTTTTGGAAAGTTAACTGTTGGCAGGCATACGTGTTTCTTTGCTCTAAACTGATGTATGATCCACATGGGCCCAATACAATTCGATCAATTCAACATTTAATAAAGCCATAGTCTGAACAGGACAACATTGAGCAACTTTTTTTCATTGGCACCATTAAGGGTGTAATGTTAATGTCATGTTCATAATTACAAGTGGACAAGTTTGTGGAGATTTATTTTGGGGTGGCTGCCAATGTTGAAATTGACTGGCAAGTGTCACCAAGAAAAATAAGACATGGATGGTGTTCTACACAGTAATGGACATTTAGCTTCTGAATAAAACGTGTGCCGTTTGTGTTGATAAAAACAAATAGGGCTGTGTGTGTCGCAGGCTGAAGTGTTGCGGACCAAGAGCACGGAGTGTCTGGCCCTCCCCTTGTGCCTCGCTAACTTTGTCGTGGCTCTGGAGTGGTTCATATATGGAGTCATCATTCATGATAGCTTCGTTAAGGTTTGTTTTTGCAAAATAATTACGATTTTTAGAAACCCTGTCAATTCACTGCTGGATAGAGGACTACTTAGTGTAGGAGGTTTAAGGAAAAATGTATAATGCATGCTGGTGAGTAATTTCTTAAATATCAACGTGGTGCTGATTTATAGCAGAATAAAAATTCAGCACCTTGTTATTGTTTAATAATATATGTAACAAAACCATAGTTTTAATGTAAAGTTGGTGTAAATTAATTTAAAACGGTTTTGTAAAATTGGCTTGTATATTGGTATCTACATTTGATCTGGAACATTACATTTTTTAAAATCATCTAGACCTACCTTGGTCTAGATGAATGCAGTGTGAATATCTCGGGAGAAATTAGAAAATCACATTGAGGAATATAATTTTTAATTGTAGTTTAGCTGGTTATCGTCACACATAGAATGCAGCAGTACCATTGTGTTCTATGCGTAAGAATACATAGTTACATTCTGAGGTCAATATACATTCTTCAGCAATTTCCCCATTTGGTTTGAAGTACACATAAAATACCCTGATTTGGCTGTCATCCAGATTCTTGATAAGTGAAAAAGATTCCACATTGCAGATAAAACTGCTTCTCTATTTGAAAATGTTTCACAAGGTGAAGCATTTATTCAGGCAATAATTTTACAGTATACATTGTAAAGTTTGTACATTCCCATTTATGCATATTTAATGTTTGTTTTTGCCTCTTAGGTGATATGGCTTATTAAATATAGATACAAATACAATTAATACAATTCTAAATATACATTTTGAGCTGCCTGTAAGTGAAACTACATCGGTCATCTTTCAAATGTTTATGCTTAATTATTAAAAGTGTGTCTTAATGCATCTATAATGCACAAGTGGCATTCGTATACACATCAATGACATCTGAAGTGCTGGTGGTCACAGTTTGTCATTATTGATATTTATGACAATTTAATGCAGCAGTGTGTGGGACCTTTGTGCAGATAGATGTCTGTGTTGGTATAATTCCACACGGACCATTCTTTATTGAGGCCTTTTGCAGTGAATGATAAAATATGCCCATTTAGATTTCATTGCATGATAATATCTATCAAGATTTTGTGTAGAGGACGAGAACTGTCCTAGGACTTTGTGAGCCTCCAGCAGCAACCAATGTCAGTGGATAAAGCCATGTATTATTGCTTGTATTATTGCTTCAGAGAATACTCTGTGCACAAATGAAATATTGGTGAGATAACTGCCTATTAATTCACCCCTTCACCTCATTTGGATCCTTCCCCCCCATAGCAACGGGGACCCCTACTGTTTTACGTTCTGCTGGCATGTAACAGAAATTCGCATGACATTGGATAATGAGGGGTTTACCTTGGAGACAGTTGTGTGTATATTTATGCTGAATGCTTTCAACCTTTTAGAAAATGTGACTAAATCACAACGTGGCAATTTGACGATGGAGCCATTGTTTTCCACTTTCAAAAATATGCCGCAACTATGGTCACATCGTTAAGCAGGAGGGTAATTACATTAGGCATTATTATAATTTTGCACAGGTTATCATGTTACAAATGCCATACCTTAATTATTCTATCCATGCATTTCATTGTTATATTGCAAATGAGATTACATACCATTTGTAGTGGTCCAGTCCAATGCTCTCAGATTACATATGTTAATCTGTACATGGCCGTATTGTGGCCATCGCAAAACGATTTAAAAATAGTTTTTTACATTATATAGTACTCCATATGCATGACAGTGGCCATGCGGGCCCTTTGTAATCAGGCTTTGAGGTCAAGGTTTGATAAAATAATTTATTTGATGGCAGATTCATGCAAAGTTTCAAAAGCATCACATTGTAAAATAAACAAAAATCTGACAATTCTATTCATTTCAGGGTATCCCTTTTTGTTCCTAATTGCTTATAGGCTATTGTACACAAAGACATTGTATGTGCAATATACTGCAGATAAAATGTAAAAAAGTGATGAAATATCCACTTGGGCATGTAATTCTGAAACATCACTTCTTATCTGCCTCTCGGCTGATGTACCAGAAGTAATGTATGGCTTTTTACTGAATAAGTGTGCCCTGCATGATCATAAGAGGCATTCCCATCAGGGGCATCCTCCCCAGAATTGACATCAGCCGTGAAATGGAGTTTTGAGATATTCCACCAATTTACAGTTACGCAAAGGATTGTTTTTCTTTGGCTTGCTTAAACCACGATTATGTTAACAATGAGAAAAAACAATGCAAAAATATATTTAAACATTACGGTATAATTACAATTAAACTAGACAACGACATTTAACTACTATGTGGTATCCTTAATTATGAATGTGTGGTATGAACGCCACATGTCTGAATGCTCTAATAACAGGCTACGGAGAGAACAACAAAACAGTTTTTTTTTTCGAATTTTCTTCTCCAATACAGATTCCAAATGTGCTGGGATCGATGCTGGGAGTGGCACAGCTGTCGCTCTTCGTTATGTATCCAAGGACTGAAAACCCTCCACGATATGATATGTCGTCACCCACGCTGAAAGCTCCATAAGTGCATACGTATCGGTGGCTTGGACATTGAATTACACAACATCTGTGTTGTACTATCAGCATTATACAAAGTGTTTGGAATTTTAAAGAAAAATGGATGAAACTTTATCAATGGATATGGGTGTTTTTTTTTACCTTGACAAGTAAAATTGTGGGTTTAGAAACCTTGTAACAAAAACTAAGGCAACAGGAAATGTGTCAGTATTTTAGAAGTCTCAATTCTTTTTCACCTTAGCTGCCTTAGGCTTTAAATCAGTTTTTTTATGAAAGTATTTTTACAAATGCGAACTATATATTCAGACCTGAATGGGATTGTTGCATTTACACACCGTCGTGCATGATGATATATATTGCTACATGCATGGTAAAGAACTCCACAGTTCCATTTGATATGTTTCATAATGTAGCCAAAACACATTTCTGCTCGCATTGTATCGGGGTTGGTGGAATGTTAGAGTTCACTTGACCATTGCACAATTGTGCCCTTTTGATGCAAGTGAATAAATCACTCGGTGGCCACATCACATCCGCATTTGGATGACATTGTCTCGGCATGCTTATTTGAGGCGTGATATCGATTTATTTACGTGTTGAATTTCTTTGGCACCGTACATAGCCAACCGTATTATTCGGAGGTGTGGGGGGGGGGAGGTCAACAAACTAAATACAAAAAGGAGTTGTAATGAAATGAGTTTGCAATCGATTTAAAAACAGCTTCCTAATATCGGAAGGAAGAGCATTCCAGAAGGTCGCAGATGAGCATCTGAAAGTGCGCGATGCAGTTACCGTCTTTGTTCGATAGCCAAAAGCCAATTCCAGGATGACCGGAGTTCACGTGATGGTTTATGCTCTTTGACGAGATCACAAAGGTATTGTGGTTCATTTGTGGCAAGCACTTTGTGCGTAATGTTAATGCTAAATTACAGTCCTTTTTCAATCCACTACTGGATGAATGCCTTCCGAGACATTTTCGGTTATGGGGGGTTTACCCATACTTCCACAACGCTGGTCAGTGTGTTTTGATGTAAAGGGGGTCCAGGACTGTTGTTGACACGTATTCACTGTGAAACGGGATGGGATGCTAGGTTAGAGTAGTGCAATAAACATTGCTGGAACGCTCCTCACATACCTTTAAGTGTTTGCTTTTTTGATGAGTTTGCCCCGAGGCCTGTTTGTGTTTCAAATGGATTATAAAAAAACGTAATTGGACCAATATGCTTGCATGAGTCTTTGTTTTTTGTGCGCGAAAGATCACTCAATTTAGCAATCTGCACTGATTGTGCAGCATTATATTCAGCCACAAGTTTCACCGTTCTCTGCATTGCCATTTGCCTACGAATGCATTTAACAGTCTAAATGTACACGATTCCCTTCAATATACTTTCAGTTGGAAATACTTTCAGTTGACTGAATCCAGCTGTTCAAGACTGTATTGGTGACTCGGGGTTTTCTCCCAATGCAATATCGAAACAAATTTCAAGAAAAAAAATATGTGCAGATACGTTTCATTTTCGTAAGGAAATGCCATTGCTTTTTTAAACGAACAAACAGCAATTGGTTTACAATGTTAATATAATCGCCTTTACTGTTTGTGTATGCAAGTTTTGCATTTATCTCTTCGAATCTAGAATTATCTCTTACCCTTAAGAGGACTCGTTGGTCACAGAAATTAGTTCTGACCAATACATAGGATACAATCGGAAATGGGAAATACCTTCAATGCAATTTGCAGATCAATAGCTTGGCAAAAGCAAAATTGAGTTTGGGAAATATATTTGCTCGGTGTGTATTAACACGAGGCCAATTTCAAAGTCGCCTTGTAGTTGATCCCAATAGACTGTTGAGTGTACAGTAACGCTGCATAATCTCACCGTGACCTTGAGCATTTCAACAGTGACTTTAGTCCTTGGGCTTCTGCAATGTTAAGTGTCTAGGTCTTTTCATGCCCCAGTGTGCCTATAAGATGTCCAAATTAGATTACATTATTAGCACATCTGCATCTCAATAAGGCACACGTTCCTACTTGCCTTTTCGAATTGTTTTCTCTTTATAGTGTCTTTACAATACGAACAATATCAACACGTGTTTGCGGACCTTCTATCTTGTTGTAATGTGTTGATTGGACGCTGTCCCAATCTGTTTAACAAGGCATCATTCAATCCGTATTTGCATGCAAATATGATTTTGCCCCAAAACACCAAAAACCATACTTAGTGCTTATGCAAATGCAATGTCCATTTTTTTCTCTCCAACGCGTGTCTCTTTGAACGGATGAAAACAAAAGCCAACAAAATTAACGCCTCCGCTTTCCATTCCCCGCGAACACAGCGTGATAATTGGCGTCGCTCATCGTGTCGTGCTATGTCAGCACCGCTGTCTTCATGTACATTCCGTGGAAGGGCCGATTGCGCAACTGGCGTCGGGACTTGCACAGAAACCACCCATCAGCAGCAGCAGAAAGGGTGGTTTTTGTTGTTGTCAAGATTTAACCCCGCCACCTCGATAGCCCCCTTATGACTAAATCGGCGGCAATGCAGCACCCGACCTCGTCAGATCTCGCAAGCCAAGCAGGTGGAACCCCGGATGGAGTGATTCGACGGGGGACCACGGGGCATTAAAACAGGCTGCTGCGGGATTGCGTTAGGGGCCATCCATTTAGTGCGCACGCATGGGAGGGGAGAGGGGCGGTTAACCCAATCGAGTACGCTTGCGATGTACGCATAGGAAACGGGGGGGGGGGGGGGTGAAGCCTCGATAATAATTTTTCTACATTGGCCTTCAAATGAGTTAGATCGTCCGGCGGTGGACTATCTGCTTAAAAACGTTGATATTATTAATCCTTGATCGTGTCTGCGTGGATTAAATATCGGTTGTTTTATAGGATTCAGGGGGGGGGGGGTCCGTCGGGCATAGGTACGCAGGTGAGGGGGGGGTGTAAAAAGTCCGCGTGCGTCCAGGGGGGGTCAAGTTTTGACAGATTTTTGCGTACCTACTCAATGGATGGCCCCTTATTGTCAACAAGGGGCAATGCAGCAATTCCGTTATTGTACAATACTATGCATGCCCCCCCCTCCACCGTTGATGCTCCTCCCGCCTTCATCAAACCCGGCACTGAGCAACCTCGAGTCAAGACCAAACAACTCCCACGACCCGCACGGTGTCGAGAGGTCTTCATCCAGCAGTGGAGTTATTGTGCGTGCCGCATTGTAAAGCTCTATTCCTCTGCATCCACGTGATACGCATTCACGGTGTGGTCCGTTGAGCGTTTTAGCAGTGGTTTGAAAACGTTCAAGGTGGGGGTGGTGGTGGTTGCGGCTTGCACACCCAGGGCTCAATTTCGGTCGGAGCTGCCCTGGGCTGAACTGGGGGGGGGGGGGGGGGACAACAATTCCCTGCCAACTCTGTCTACCCCCCCAAGCTCCACGTGGCAGGCGAGTGGGCACAGGTTGTGGTGGCCTGGACCGTTGGAGAATATTCCATGAGAAATGAAGCCCTCCCTCCCTCCCTGTGCGCGCGCACTTGGGGAGTTTTCAAGTGCGAGCGCGGATGGCGCAAACAACCCCCCCCCCCAAAAAAAAAGGGGGGGGGGGGGATGGTGATGCCAAAAATAGCCATCGTTTAAATGTTAATGAGCGAGGCGATTGAAGTCCGTGTTGTCCGTGCTTGAGATTTGGAGCCGCGCGAGATGCGCGCGTTGCGACGACGCGCACACGAGATGCGCTCATAAAGCCGAGATGATCCCATTATCTTTATAGGCTTGTTGGGGCAAGTGCTGTAAAGATATACAGGACTCCGTAGTAGGCACCCATTAACGATCGAAAACAGCACGCGAGGGGATGGCGGTTTGGCCAGTAGCACACCACGCCCGACCGCCTTTGTCTCCCCATTTTCTTCCGTTTACATAACGCACCAGACACGATACAGTACTCATTTGAGGCTGAGTCGATCTAAAAGAGGTCCAGAATGGAGTGAGATACAATTTGCGATTGATTATATCTTTTTGCCGGAGAATTGAACTCGGTTCGTAAATCTTCCGGTGTAGTGAATCATTGTGCCACCGATTCTCACACAGGCGCATTAATCCACCTGTGGCGTCGCATGTTTGGCAGAGGTCCTGGTGCAAGGAATCAATTGCACCCCCACCTCTCTCACCCCCCTAATCTAATGTCCCCCGTCTTCGTAACCCTGCGCTTGGGCCCCGACGCAGTCGCACCGCCTGCACACCCCGATGTCTAACGCCACTGTCCTCTGCGCTGTTCGTGGCAGTGAATGTAACGATCCACATTGACTTATCAATTAATGTCAATTCTCCAAGCCAACCATATGTTGTTACGTTTCGTGGATTTATACTACTTTATCGGTTCATAAATCTTAATATGGCCCTCTAAAGCCGCTGGAAGCCGCTCTCCAACATTACCGTGTTTTCAAAAATAATCGATTGTTGAATGTATTCGTGAACTAAACTCGCGACGGTTCATGGCATCTCGACGGAGGTGGCGGGGGTGGGGGTGTAATCGTTATACTCTAAATCAGGGGTCCTCAAACTACGGCCCGCGGGCCACATGCGGCCCGCCGAGGACATTTATCCGGCCCGCCGGGTGTTTTTGCCGCCGCTGCCTGTCTGTTACTTTTTTTCTACATGAGAAGGACGGTCATTGGTGGAAGAGGGAGAGGGGGCGGAGTTCCCCCCAATCAGACTGCATTGATGGGCAGTGCAGTCTGTATGTCTCTGTGTGGGCAAAGTTATTGCTGGTATATTGTTTTTGTAGCGCTGTATATATATTGGTATTTTACTAACATCAATTTTGACTCCCTAGGAAACAATGATGTCAAGAAAGAGAAAAATTTACTCGGAGTGTAGGATATTCAAAGAACAGTGGACTTATGATTACTTTTTCATGCAGTACAAGGAAAGAGCTGTGTGTCTGATATGCCAGAATATAGTGTCTGTGTTCAAAGAATACAATTTACGTCGACACTATGAAACTCAACATGAAGATAAATATGCTTGTTTGGTCGGAAAAGTGAGAAAAGATAAAATATTAAAACTGAAAAATACATTAACAACTCAGCAAAATACTTTTGTGAAGCAGAAGCAGATAAATATTTCATCACTGCGAGCAAGTTTTCAAGTTGCCAAGCTAATAGCGTGCACTGGCAGACCATTCGTGGAGGGAGAATTTGTTAAAGAATGCATTCTTTCTGTTGCCAAAGAGATGTGTCCAGAGAAGGCCTATTATTTAGTACAGTGAGTCTTTTAGGACCTACAATTACACGGAGGATTGAAGAAATGGGAGACAATTTGTATTAGCATTTGCAAAACTCCACAAAAAAACTTTCCTATTTTTCCTTGGCACTCGACGAAAGCAAGAGATGTTCGTGATTCTGCACAACTTCAAATTTTTATTCGTGGGACGAATGACTATTTCGAAGTCACAGAAGAGCTTGCTGCACTGCAAAGCATCAAAGGAACAACTACAGGAGAGGATATCTTTCGATTTAAAGCTTTCGTGACTGCAGGGATTCATCTTCTTGGTTCTTTCGGTAAAGTCACATAGAAGGGAAGTAATAAAATAATTCTCACGACGTTTCGGCCACAACGCAAGCAGCCGTCCTCAGGTGAAAACCAGGCCTGTTGGGGAGACAGCGTCTGAATGAAACAGCACACGAGCTTGGAGCATATATAAGCTGGGTTGGAAGCGGGGGAAAGAGCGCTTTGACAAAAGAATTTGCATATCAAGAGGAATTTAGCATATTTATGGGAAATTCAGGAATGTGATTAGTACTACATATGCCCGTGCTGCATATTTAGTACTAATAACATTCCTGCATTTCCCATAAATATGCTAAATTCCTCTTGATATGCAAATTATTTTGTCAAGGCGCTCTTTCCCCCGTTTCCAACCCAGCTTATATATGCTCCAAGCTCGTGTGCTGTTTCATTCAGACGCTGTCTCCCCGACAGACCTGGTTTTCACCTGAGGACGGCTGCTTGCGTTGTGGCCGAAACGTCGTGAGAATTATTTTATTATGTTTTATTTTTATTATTTTATTACTGCCCTTCTACGTGACTTTACCGAAAGAACCAAGAAGAGAGGATATCTATGAAAAGGTTTGCCAAACTGTGAATGGTTTGGAGCTGAACTGGGCTAAACTAGCCAGTGTGACAACTGATGGTGCTCCTAGCATGGTGGGGTCTAAGAAAGGAGTAATTG